AAGGTTCGTTCTGGAAGCCTTCAGTGGGAAAGAGGAGGGAGAGGAGCAGGGGTCTGCGGGGCTCACTGAGTTCAGAAAGCTGAGGAAGGGGCCACACCCCTCCCATTCGGCCCCTGGCAGGGAATAAAGCTGGCCAGCAATGGTCCCCAGTGTCCATTGGATAGAAGGGGGTCATAGGTTCATCTAAGTTGGGGGTGTCCTTAATTAAGTGGTGTTGAGACTGCTGGGGTGTTTAGAGTTGGAGGTCAGGACTGTGTTTTAGGGATAAGGAGGCTCATCAGAGGGGTGTGCTGGGGGCCTCTGAGTTGAAGGTATTCTTGCCTCAGACAAGAAAGGTCAAGCTGAAGTTGAGGATAAGTCTTTTATTTCCTTTGGCCAGTTTGAGATGGCACTGGCATGTCTGTTCATCCAAGTGGTGTCTGATTCTTGTGTTCGCTGCTCAGTACTGGGCGCTGGGGCAGAAAGAGCTTTGGAAGGGGGAAGGCCATGAGGAGGCTAGAAAGAGGACAGTTGTTGGTGTGGGTTGGTACCCAGTAGGGCACTTGCACTGACTGCCTGTCTGTTGTGCCCCTCCTTCTCAGGGCAAGTGCCCGAGCCATGGCACTGCCTCGAACACTGGGGGAGCTGCAGCTGTATCGGGTCCTGCAGCGTGCCAACCTCCTTTCCTACTATGAGACCTTCATCCAGCAAGGAGGTGACGACGTGCAACAGCTTTGTGAGGCTGGTGAGGAGGAGTTCCTGGAGATCATGGCACTCGTGGGCATGGCCACAAAGCCCCTCCATGTCCGACGCCTCCAGAAGGCATTGAGAGAGTGGGCTACCAATCCAGGGCTCTTTAGCCAACCAGTGCCTGCTGTCCCTGTGTCCAGCATCCCACTCTTCAAGATCTCTGAGACTGCGGGTACCCGGAAAGGGAGCATGAGCAATGGGCATGGCAGCCCAGGGGAAAAGGCAGGCAGTGCCCGTAGTTTCAGTCCCAAAAGCCCCCTTGAACTCGGAGAGAAGCTGTCACCACTACCTGGGGGACCTGGGGCAGGGGAGCCCCGGATCTGGCCAGGCCGGAGCACTCCAGAGTCAGACATTGGGGCGGGAGGAGAAGAGGAGGCTGGTTCACCCCCTTTCTCCCCGCCTGCAGGGGGAGGAGTCCCTGAGGGGACTGGGGCTGCAGGGATAGCAGCAGGTGGAGCTGGGGGTGGTCCAGATCGCCTAGAGCCAGAGATGGTACGAATGGTGGTGGAGAGCGTGGAGAGGATCTTCCGAAGTTTCCCAAGGGGCGATGCTGGGGAGGTCACATCTCTGCTGAAGCTGAATAAGAAGCTGGCAAGGAGCGTGGGGCACATCTTTGAGATGGATGATAATGACAGCCAGAAGGAAGAGGAGATCCGCAAATACAGCATCATCTATGGCCGCTTTGACTCCAAAAGGCGGGAGGGCAAGCAGCTCAGCCTGCACGAGGTGAGGAGCCAGGTCCCCTTGGGACTGCTGTTGACTCCAGGCTTCTGTACACTCACCTCTGAGAATTTCTACATTCCCCTGAGTTTTATTGCCCATTGTGGAGAGCCCTGAGCCTGACCCCCACCCTTGCTTCAGACCCAGCTGCTACAGTGCCTCCATCCTCAACTGAGGGGGAAGCAGAGATACAGGCAAGAGCCCAGCTGTTCAGCTGTGTGTCAATAAGGACCCCACAGGAGTGGAGGAGGCTCCGGGCATTCCTAGCAAGCTGTGGGTGCTCACCTCTTATCTTTGTCCCCCAGAAAGCTCCTGTATATTGTCCAGACAAAGCAAGCTGCCTACAGACTGCTTCCTTTGATGGTGAAGGGGAATGAGAAGGTCTGGATAAGGAAATGGAAATTAAGTTTCTGTCTGTCCTCTCTCCACAGCTGACCATCAATGAAGCTGCTGCTCAGTTCTGCATGAGGGACAACACCCTCTTACTTCGGAGGGTGGAGCTCTTCTCCCTGTCTCGCCAAGTGGCTAGAGAGAGTACCTACCTGTCTTCCTTGAAGGGCTCCAGGTGAGACCCCCATTCCCCAGGTCCTTCCTACATTGGAATCTTACCAGGAAGTTGGGTCATGTCCTAACTTCCAGCTCAGGCAGTTCTGGGCTTGCTACCCACCCACCTGCATGTTTTGCCTTTGGCCAAGTGCGCTTGTCTGAGGTCTGGTCCCTCCTCCCATCCGTCTCAGGTCCTCCCACCCCACCCCCGATATAGTGACTGGGCTGGAGACTCCTACCTAACTGGCTTCTTTGCAGAGTTTTAAAGTAATGCATGGGCCTGTCCACATTCTGTTCCTTGGCCAACATGTGACCCTCCCCAGTCTCATGGTCATTTTTTGCTATCATTGCAGGCTTCACTCAGAAGAATTAGGAGGCCCCCCACTTAAGAAACTGAAACAAGAGGTATATTTTCCAGGGGTGGGATATCCTGCCCCAACTCCCTCCCTTGCCATGTTCTCATCCCCCCATTCTGGGCATCCACAGGTTGGAGAACAGAGTCACCCTGATATCCAGCAGCCTCCTCCTGGCCCTGAGTTGTATGCACCTCCATACCGCCCCAGCCTGGAGGAAGACAGTGCCAGTCTGTCTGGGGAGAGTCTAGATGGACACTTGCAGGGTGCGTGTGCCTTAAAGTACTTCCCTCTTCATTGTGGGGAGGTGGGGGTGGACGGCTGGGGGGATGGGAGGAGTAAGCCAGGAATCACTGCCTGGAATAGGGCTGGGAGGCCTGGCTGGATGGGAGCAGGACTTACGGGTCTGGCTGTGCGGTTGAGGGTGGGGTTCTGTTGGCTGCAGCCCCTTACCTGACCAGTGCCCATGCCCACAGCTGTGGGGTCATGCCCAAGGCTGACGCCGCCCCCTGCTGACCTGCCCCTGGCATTGCCAGCTCATGGGTTATGGAGCCGCCACATCCTGCAGCAGACACTGATGGACGAGGGGCTGCGGCTCGCCCGCCTCGTCTCCCATGACCGCGTGGGCCGCCTCAGCCCCTGTGTGCCTGCGAAGCCACCTCTCGCAGGTGAGGCAGCCAGTAGTGCTCCATCCACCCAGGCCCCACGTAGCAATCTTGGTGTCCTGGGACCAGGGTGGGAGGAAGAGGATGCAGTTGCCGGAGAGGACAGTAGGAGCTCCAGTGAACCAGTCTTGGGGTAGAGGAGAGGACCCTCCTGGGCCGTTCTGGCTGGGGAGGGTCTGATCCTGGTGGGGATCTGTGAAGAGGAAACTTTGATAGCAGGGGGACAGAGAAGGGGATGAAGATGAGTGGGAAGGACAGTCACCATCCAATAAGGGAAGCTTAGCTAGAACCCCACTAATGCAGGACCGCCAAGCAGGCTAGGTGTGGAAGGGTTGGGATTGCCCTGAGGAGCCCAAAGAGGGATGTTTTATGTGTGGAGGGTGGGTGGGGGAGTGGGCTAGCGAAGGGCTGGGCATCGCTGGGCTGAGAGTGACGCAGCAGACAAAGCCACCAACCCTGGCTTGGTATTTTTAATCTGTGGGTGGGGGGGAAGGGGGTGGGGACT